TGTTGCTTTTTGGAGGGAAGGATGATGGATTACAGGAAATGTGTCCTGTAGACATGCTTGATGGGTGAGAGGCTGAAGGTATGGAGAACAAGGGCAAGATGGGGGTTCCCGTCATAGGCAGTTGTGTGAAATAAGGCAAGGAGTTAAGTGTGGGAGAAGGACCCAAAGAGAGTTGTTAATTATGAAGTTTCGGTGGAGCAAAGGAGAGGGGGATTGGAAGGAAAGAAGATATTTTATATATAAAAATGTCAATAAATAGATATGTAATATTAGCTTTAATAAACATTTTAAACTAATGTTAAAATTATCTAATATACAGGTTAAAAAAAAGAGTTTCCATACATCTCGGTATAATGCTTAAATTATCCACAAGTACAAAGTTTGGTTTAAAAAGTCAGAAGGCCAAGAGGAAGTGAATAGGCAGAATGTAATCATCCAAACTGTAATTTGCCCAGTACTAGATTTTGAATGATGACTGGCTGATGACAATCCAAAGTTACCCACAGAACAACTCTTGCAAAAAGCATCAGCAGACCTTTACTCATTACACATGCTCAGGATCCCGAGTTTAATTTTGATCTGAAGACGGCACCTCCAACAGCACAACAGGGACATACAGAGCCAGTTTTGAAATACCAATTTTATCCTCTTTTTCTAACTTTTCCATTTCTGTTGCCAGTTTGTTCTCTCCAAGCACTAATATTTTAAACCAAAATGTCTTCAAGGACAGAAGGCCTATAGCCATGATTTCTGTGGAGTACGGCTGCAAGGGGAAAATTGATGTTCAGCCAGTCATTGAATTTGATCATTAGTGATGGAGGGAACTCTGTGATGATTTTGTTTTCTTCCTCACTGATGCTGGAAATGCTATAATCATAGTGTGCAGATTCAGTTTATCTTTTAATTGAGCAAGAAGTAAGTTCAGCTGTTTCAAGTTAGATGATAAAATCTGTTTCACAGGGAACTTAAAGTGCTATAATGATCATTGTTTTCACCATGTTTTACTACTGCTACTCCATGCTGAGCCCAGAAAGAGAAATGGATTCTGTTCTGGCCCTTGCATTATGAGTTAAGTTCCAACTCCATTAATTTTTACCTTGAGGTGTCAATCTCAATTTCAGCCTAACTAGATCACTAATGGGCCTCATTGGGTCATAATCATTGATGATAATGTATTAGCCTGAAAGAACCTAGCTTGCCTTTCAAAACCCAAGCTGAATTTGAAGGTCTGACTGGTAGTTAGAAAACACCCCCACCCCTCTATCTCTTTACTTGTTAACTGAGCAAATTTGATCTCAAGGCATTGGGAGACAATAGTTTGACCTAGAGTCATTTGGATGCAATTGTTAGTGACATTTCAGAGCAGAACTATATGGTAAGTATGCTTATTGTGAGGTTCCTTAATTATAACAACCAACAGGGAAAGAAGATTGGAAAAGATCAGAATAAATATCTCTACCAAGGAAATGTAGCCTTATGATTAAAGTACATGATTGGGAATCAGGGTTACTGGGTTCTATTTCTACTTCTGTCCTGCTCTTTCTGTGTAACTTTGAATAAGTTGCTCAGGGTACAACTTCCAAAATGTTCACCAATTTTGAGTGCCTCAGTTTTTGGTGGCTTAATTTGAGATACACAAACCATGATTTTTAATGGTGCTCAATACCTACAACTCCAGTTAAAGTCAGTGGGATCTGTGGATCCTCGGCACCTCAGTAAATCATGCCCTACAGGTGTCAAGATAAGCAACCAAAAATAAAGGCACCCAAAATTAATGGCCACTTTTGAAAATTTTGGCCTAAGTAGTGTGCCTCAGGTTTCTCATCTGTGAAATGGTGATAATACTGCAGTGCAGTAATGGTTAGTCCATGTTTATATAGCCCTTGGAAGAAGATAAGTACTAAGTATTGTTAGTTTCTCCATTACCCAGGAGGACTTTATTCTTGAGGGCATTCTGCGCCCAAAAAATTAAAATTCTGCACCAAAAAATTAAAAATTCTGTGCACAATATTTTAAAATTCTTCAAAATTCTGCAAATTTGATTTCTCAAATAAATGTGGAGGCTCCAGCATGGCATTGGGGAGCACAGGCCACTGGCTGCATGGAAGTGGAAGAGCACTGTGCAGCTCACCCCCAGGACACAGACTCAGCGGTGAGACGGTACCCAACCCTGACACAGTGCAAGGACCGAGCCTACCCCAGAAGCATCCCAGGGCCCTGCCCCTCCATGCCAGGTGCACCAAGTGTGGGCAAGCAGGCTCAGTAAGGCAGGATCCAAGTGTGGACAGGGCCGGCTCTAACATTTTTGCTGCCCCAAGCAGCCAAAAAAAGCGCCGCTGAGCTCCCCCGCCAAGCGCCGCGCCACGCCATGCGCCGCCCCCCCACTGAGCGCTGCGCCGCCGAAGCCCACCCCTCCCGCCGAGCGCCGCGCCGCGCCGCCAGAGCACCTCCCCCCCGCGGAATGCCGCGCCGCGCTGCCCCCTGCCACCCCAAGATTGGTCGCCCCTTACCAGGTGCCGCCCCAAGCATGTGCTTGGTTGCCTGGTGCCTGGAGCCGGCCCTGAGTGTGGAGGGACTTAGCATGAGGGGATCCAGATATGGG